CCATTCTTCTTCAACTTGTCATTCCCGGCATAGTAGACCATATGATTGTCTAATTCAAAATGGCCAATACCAGTCCATTTCAGCTTGTTAATGTCCAGGATATTGATCTTTATGTGTTCCATTTCATTTTTGATGACTTCCAATTTTTCTAGATTGATACTTCATACTTGCCATGTTCTGATTATTAATGGATGTGTGCAGCTGTTTCTTCTCGTTTTGAATTATGCCACATCAGTAAATGAAGGTCTTGAAAGTTCTACTCCATCTACGCCATTAAGGTTGACTATTTTGGGAAGGTAGCTCTTCCCCATATTTTGAGTGCTTTCCAACCTGAGGGGCTCATCCTCCAGCATTACATCAGACAATGCTATACTGCTATTCATAAGGTTTTTGCTGGCCAAGTATTTTTAGAAGTAGATCACCAGGTCCTTCTTTCTAGTCTGTTTTAATCTGGAAGCTCCACTGAAACCTGTTCACTATGGGTGACCCTGCTGGTATTTGAAATATCAGCGGCATAGCTTCAAGCATCATAGCAACATACAAGCCACCACAGTACGACAAACTGACAGACAAGTGGTTGCATTTTTGTTATACCTCAAGTGAATATACTAGCTCATTTTCAAATCTAAAATGCCATTTCTCTTAAGACTTATTTCAACTCTAGATAGTATAAGACATTCTGACTTCAGAAATGTTAAAATGTGAAAAAAAAGTGCATCTTGGAATCAGTTACATATGGTAGTACTGACCCTATTTATTAAATGTATTTTATATTAATTTATTAATGAAACTGAAATTCTGCATGATTTGACAACTATCTAGAAAGATGGCCTTCTCAATTTCCATTAAAATATGAAAACAACTGATCAATAAATGCTAGAAACTAAAAATCTGAGACAAATATCTTTAAGTTCCTTGTTTTCTACAAGGTTTTCATTCTTCTCTCAGAATTACATTCTCTCTCTCTCTCTGTATATATATATATGTAATTTACTCTGAGTTTATTATGTTCCTGTGAATTTACCATAGCTATATTCATCAAAAATTTGTTTTCTCAACTACTAGAATTTCAGGTTAGAGCTTTCATTTTATTCCGATAATATATCTGTGTGCCTAAGTGTGTGTTTGTGTGTATGTATGTTATTCCTTTTAAGAATTTACAAAATTATACAATATTGTACTGTTTCATAGTAGCAAAGGTAATCACACTGATATTTAAAGCCATCCAGGGCACGATTTATGTTTAACTTTCAGAAGCTTGGAGATAGTACATGTTTTAGCTCCAAGTAAAGAAGAAATAAATTTTCTAAACTTTATCACTTAGTCAAGGGAATAATTTTAGCTTTTTCACCTTCTACTAATATATATACTTGAAAAGCAAAGTTCAGATATAGGCCATTGAATTAAAATTTGACCTACCTGCTCTCCATTTAAGCGGTGAACCTCTACCAACTCAAGAAAGATTGATAAACGATGGCTTGTATCAACTTCAGTTTTTCGGTATTTAGATTTTGAGGAGGCTCCAATTCTCCTCATTCCTGGTAAACTCATTGCCATATGCAGAGTTTTAATTGCTTCTGCTATTTCTCCCATTTTCTTTTGTGACTGAGCTTTTACCAAATGATATAAAGGATATTCTCTCACCTGAAAAAAGAGTATTTAGATATACTTCTTTGAAGTGCTTCACAACATCAACATATACTTTACAATCCAAGCAAACATTAAGATGAATAGGATCTTTAAGGACACTCTATCTGTGATTTCGTATTTCCATCTTCTTACTAAATTTCTGATCATCTGTTGTATTAAGATTCGGGGAAACTGCCACTAACTAGGATCTTCCTAGATAACAAAGAGGTTGATTAGATTGGGTTGTTATGAGTCGGAATTGACTTGATGGCAACAGGTTTGGTTTCATTTGGTTTATGATGACATACAATAAAATGAAAACAAAGTTTTGAAGGTTAGCAAATACATTCTCGGGAGTTATTTGAATTTTCAGGAAAGGAATTCCTTGAACTTCTAATACTGATATAAACTTATTAGATTTCTAGAAACAATTTTTTTTTCCCACTATCCTTTATTTTTTTTTACTTTTAAGTTTAAAAATGTCAGGACACTTTAATTAAACATTGGCTTTACCCTTTCATACTACTCCTAAACATGTAGAAATCATGCTCTTGTCTTTATTTTGGCTAGCAACAGAGTATACAGAAAACACATAGACAGTTTCTAAGAGAATGACACAAAATAAGCAAGGGTAAAGAAGTCAAAGGGAAGGAGATTATTTGGAATCAGGTGAGGAGGAGCCATCTATAGTTTAGGAAGTCTGCAGTCCTCCTAAAGCTGCTGTTCTCAACCTTAGCCAAGCATCACAATTATTATGGTGCTATGTGTAAATACTAATGCTTATACTACTCCCTCAAAGATTCTGATTCATTGGGGTGAGGTACTGACACTGGGGTTATGGTACACCACCAGTCCTGAGAACTACCATCCTAAAAATTAGGCAATACTCCCTGCAAAACTTGCCTAAGCTTGAATTCTCCAGTTCACTTAAAGGTTCTCCCATAACAGGGCTCAAGACTCTGTAAACCAAAGCAAAAGTTTGGGGAGCTTCTCCATGACTCTAG